TACCCCTTAAGGGCCACGCCAAAAGGTGATTGAAAACAAACCCTAAGCTCCTTGTTTCTCCGCTTCAAAGGTAACCCCGATTATTGCTGACTTAAGCATCGGAGTGTCTACCCTGAGGATCCACCTCGGGGCTTTGCAGGTCAATCCAGAGTGCAGATACGGATTGAAGAAGGACTTCCGGTTTGGTGCAGTTACATTTTGGCGCCGTCTGTGGGAATCTGAACTAAAGGCTCTTTTGTTGCTTTTATCATGGTTAAAACTAGGTCAGCCCGAGGGGGAAACTCGTCTCAGCCTCTTGGACGAGGTCAGGTCCCCAGCAACCTTCCACCTCATCCTTCACCCCTTCTTCTTGTTCCCCAAAGGTGACTGTTGTCACGTCCACCTCTGGGTACTGGGCCTTCACTTTCTTTCTACAGTCGGTGAAGGCCACGATTGCGGTTGGCAGCCGGTAGAGTTTGAGGATGTCCTTGAAGGTGCTGGAATTGAGGAAGTTGCCAATATGCTCCTCCATCCCATTGTGAACCAGCATGTTCACGTTCTTCTTCAGCTCCGCAGCTGCTTTCCTCATCTTCTCCATATATTTGTCCTGAGCCTCGAGTTTCTCCTCGTAGATTTTCCTTTTACGTTCTTCGAGGCCGAGCTTCGTGCTCAGGACATCATTTTCGTTCTGGAGCTCGGTCACTGAAGGGAGAACTTCATCCAGCCTCCTCTGCATCTCCCTCTTCTGCTTCTCCCATTCCATCTTCTCCTTCTGCAACTCATCCTTCTCCCTCTGAAGCTGGTCGCACTGCCTTTGCAAGCTGGCACGATCTCTAACGCTCTCTGTATACTCCTGCGCTAGAGCGTTTGTCCAGCTCGCACTCTATAATGCAATCAGAAGTCAGACATCAGGCACAAGACAAACAACTCAAACATACAACCGGAGTAAAATCTAGTTATTTCGCATACCTCTAGAGCATGCCTCACAACGGTATACCCCGCATGGCTACGCACCTCGTCCTTCGCTTGCATCCTATCCACCTCAGGAAGCGTAGCGTTGAGAAAGTGCTTCGCCCCAGTCATGTTTGTCGCCTCAAACAAACTTTTTTGGTACGCGTGGGGTGGGGTGCGCTCCCTGCCCCCACTAAGGCCTTGCTCCTCGGCCTCTTCCCTCTCCCGGACCTCAGGAACGATTTCTGGAGGAGAAGGTTGAGGCACGAACTCCACCACCTCATCCCCCCTGCTTTCTAGCTCTGCCACCCTCCTCTTCTTCCTCTGGAGCGGAGCCGTCTCCTCGCTTCCATCCTCGCTGCCCCCTATCACAGGCTCCGGCCTTGGCTGCACCTCCATGGCACGGGCAGAAGTACTGGGAAGGCACTCTCTCTCGGGCACCCCTCTGTTCGCCGCAGCTGAAGTCGTTGACTTCTTCCTTGGCTTCTTTGGAATGTGCAGCCCCCCAGCAGCATTGGTAAACTCCTCCATCTCAGCTGCAACACAAGCACAACAGTCAAAACGCATAAACTAAGATCTAACTAACATAGCACAATGTAAACATACACAGACCTTCGCTCAATGAGCTTGGCCCATAGAGCTCAGCAGCATCTATTGCCTGTGGACTGGTGAGGTATAGGATGTCCACCATGTCTCCGTCCTCCCTCACCAATTTCTTCACTTCTTCCACCTCATCCTCGTTCAATTTATAGTTGTTCTGCTTGGATTTCTTTGCTTTCCAAGCAGACAACTGTTCCACTTCGGCATCCCTCCTACTCCACTCGGTGTCATCCACAAAGAAGAAATTTTCTTTCCATCCTTTGATGGATGACGGCCTAGGAGAGAATAAATTCTTATTCTCTTTGCTGGACGACTGAGGACCGAAGTGATACCACCCCTTTTCTCCTCCACCCCCAGCCTTAATTATAAAAAAATGTTTAAACATATTCACAGTGGGAACCCCAACCCCCCGAACTCTGCAGTATACAAGAAAACCTATTACTACCCTCATGGCATTTGGAGTTAGTTGGGTTATTCCTATACTATAATCTAATAATAACCCAACCCGTAATTCTGGAATGGGAAACCTAAGCCCTGCAATCAAATAATGCAGGTATATGGGCATCCAATGGTCTCGGGGTGCTGAGCATGCCCTCTCATTCACCCCGGCAGGCCGGATTAGGACATGGTGGGGAAGGTTACAGTTCCCCACTAACCCCCCAAGGCTACTCCTACTACCTAATTCGCTCACATACCCCCTCACCTCAAACACTATCTCTAAGTCCAGGTCGTAGCACCCATCTACGCCACCCCCAGACTCTAACACATTTGAGGGGATCTCCTCTTCCTCCTCCTCTACTCCTACTTCTTTCCTCCTCTCCTCCACCGTCCTCTCCGAACTCATTGGAGACGGACTGCTCTCCGCATCCATACTACCGTACTCCAAAGGCATCACTTCACTCCCCACCACACTCTTGGCCTCTTCTAAAGACATCTCAATTTCTGCATACAAGGGGAGGAGGAACGATGTCAGGATCCCAAACAATTCCAACACACTCAACACATTCTCACTCCCCACCCTAATTTCCTCCAAAAAACACAAAATCAACCACAGAAAGGTAGGAAGGAGGATAGCATACCAGTAAAATTGAACTCACGAATTCAAAATTGAAGTTAAAAATCTATCCATTTTACCTGATTTTGATCTTACGAAACTGTTGTGGAAGTCTTAATCGAAATGCAAACCGCACGAAACCGCAGAAATTTAGCAGAAATTTCACAAGGGTATACTAGCAAAATAACGAGAGTAAAAAGTCTCCACTTACAGAAGTATAGCCTTTTATACCAAAGGCAGAATACGCCCCAACGGCTGTGATCAACCCATCTAACGGCTGCAAAGGTACCGTTTCGAATTCAACGGTTAACCCCAAACGGTACCGTTTCGAATCCGACGGTTCATTTTTTAAATCTGCCCGTTGGACTGTTGCAATTTACCCTTTTTTACAGCGGCATTTATTACGCACGTCATTCAGAGGACAGCTGTCGCGTCACGTGCCGCGTCTTAGTCAGACTTCTCAAACGGGCCCACTTAAGCCCATTTCAACACTCCTTTCCACTTCTATACATTTTGAATTCTGACAAGTAGTTTACTTCGGCTCCGGCCACAGTGACCCAGTGTCACTCATTTTACTTTGGCTCCGGCCACAGTGACCCAGTGTCACTCATTTTACTTCGGCTCCG